CTTATTTCACATCATTTTGCAACTATTAGGTGTGTTAAAGCTCATGTATTGTTTCAAATAATTAAATGGCATGCAATAAAGAATATCAAAAATGCAATCAAAATCCATTCCAGATAACATATCTAAAGATTTTGATCATTGAACTCATATAATTTTCATGTCAGCAGAATAAGGGCAATAGAAGTAAATGGGGACTATAAATGGTTAAGATATCTTATAATTCAGATTTTTGTAATAATTGATTTAAAATGGCTAAGAATTAGTAAATTGTCAGAAGAAATTCGGACCGGAATATTTAAGTAGTTTATAGCTCAAACTCTTGTTGTTTATGTATTTTTAGCAACATTTTCTATTTCATTTCATTATCCAAAAAGTTTTCTTTCTCGTTTCATTAAAAACTAAGAAAGTCACAATCACATACAATCTTAGATTTCAGAACACGTGCATGCGTGTAATTTCTAGATTTCTCACATTCTTATAGTATCTCATAATATACTAATCAAAATTTCTCAGTCCCCAGGCACGTTTTTGATTTACACTGTTTTTATATTAGATTATTTTGACAATATAAATTGATAAATATGTAGGATAAAATGTAACAAAACAAAATGTTCTCATTCAATCAAATTTTATTGCAGCGCTTTATCACAAAATGCAGAAACATTTAAAAACCCTATAATTTAAATTTCGCAAAATTCAATACTGCATTAATCCTCCATTCAAACGAATTAACATCAAGGCATCTGCTCCTAAACAAGTTCAAAAATCAAAGAAAAAATCTTTATTGAGGCTTTTTCCATGTTATTTCATGTGTTGACTAGGTTTCCCTCTAGTTCTGCTAGATTCTGCGACTGGAAAAGCTGTCTCACTATCCCGTCTATCTTGTCTTATACAATCATGCTCTATAAGGTTGAGAAGTGGATGACAAGGGGGCTAACCGAAATTGTCTGTGCCTTGATGACAATATTAAGCAGGACTTTAAGTCTCCTTAAAAGCATTCCCACTCAGCCAGTTTGTTCCGTACAGTTTGGTCACTGAAGAGACTTCTATGAATTTTCAATGTGTGTCGTGCAGTTGCACATGCAGTTAGGTTCCTTCCAGAATGGTGAGTAATTCTCATGTAGCGGTCCTGTTGATGTGTCGTTACACTACGTCTTGGTCATCGAGATAGGTCTACACTTCCGGTTCCGGTCCAGTTAATTTCCAGATAAAGCCTAGGATGGTTTTTTGGTTTCTGTTCAAAATCTAGCGACTTCTAATAAATGTAAGGAATTAACGTAAACTTTGTTGGTCTATCAGACGGTATTTTCAAAGGTTGTAAGCATAATAAACACGTATAGTGAAAGAAAACAAACCTATCGTGAACTATACCCAGCTTGGACCACATGCACATTATTGTGCGGGCATGCACCGCATTTTACTCAACTTCTTTGTGTGTGTGTGTGTGTTTGTTTGTTTGTTGTTGTTTTTTTTTTTTTTGTTTTTTTTGGTTTGTTTTTGTTTTTTTTTTTTCTTTTTTGTTTTTCGTAAACAACTAAAGGTAAAGAACACATGGAAACAAAAAAAAATTTGAAAATTCACCCGAAAAACATATGGAACTCGCACTTTCTGCTTTTCAACAAAAAGGTCACAGTAGAGTAATCACACATTCTATTGGAATTTTTTTGACCTTGTCATGTTAGCATTGTAAATTGTAGGCAAAATTTTAAGCCACTTACAAATTGATGTAAGGGATTTGATTTTTTTAAAATAAAAAAGTGGGCATTTAGAAATTTTGACAAGTATATATACCTCTAATAGGTATTCAATATCAAAGTATTTCATTGAAGAGTTAGAAAATTACTGCTGATAAAGTATTAGCCAATCAAAATTCAGCACACTTGCATGCATGTCATTGCATTTAAAATTTTGATAGTACTGTCTTTCACTAATTTACAATTTTACAATTTTCAATTGTTAAGGAGTATATGACTAATTAGTCATGTATTCATTAACAATTGAAAATTGTAAATTAGTGACAGTACCATAATATAGGAACTAAGCATATCTATATTTATGTTCCATTTTTTTTCTTCTGTTTTTGTATGTATTTATTTTAATATTTTGTAATATTATACTTTCAGGTTGATTAGGTGAATCTGATTCATCGAGAAGCATTTGTTAAAAACCACTGTATCCTCTGAATAATGAAGCCACGCCCTCTACCGTAGCCACAGTCGTGATCAAAGGGTGATTTTCGAAAAAAAAATGACTGCGCAGAATTTAAGCGAGTATACGTTCATTCTTACATGTATTTGTTTTAAACATCAGTATAATATAATAAATATTGCTTGTAGTTGTGGTTAACTTTGAAAATTGAAAACCTTCGAAAACCATTGTCAACCTCGGCTGCGCTTCGTAGAATATATTATAACGATATACTAGGTAAGTTTAACATATGAAGAAATGCATGAGTCCGGTTTTTCTTATTATTATTTATGAAGTAGGGCTGGGTATCGGCTGGAAATTTCGTATTACGATATATATTGCGATATTTTTAACTGTATTGCGATATGTATTGCAATATTTTCAATGACAGTTAAAATGCTCTTTTTCTTATTTTATCAACCTCCATCTATAAGCAACGTGTGTTAAAGTATTTTAAATACATTCTTAAAAAAAATGTTGATTTCACTACAGTTTTGGAACGAATATGCAACCATATAACAGCAATCTTACCGTTTGGTACTGTTTGGCACGATTGAAAACGTTCTGACATACATGTATTAAATTTCATATTTTACTGAAGAAATCTAAAGCCCAAGCAGTTTGCCGGTATATCGGTACTGGAAAAACGTATCGCAATAGTCGCATTTCCTTTGACAAATGGAAGATTCATAGTAACTTTAAAAAGGTTATTATTTGTTTCCGGTGTTCGTTGTATCTTGAAAGCAACATGGCTTACATCAATGAAAATTAGCCAATTTTGAAAACAAAAGCATGGGATTTCGACCGTTTTAGCCATTCTAATAAAGGATATAAGCGGCTGAGGGGCAATATGAAAACCACACTCCTTCTTTTTTCAGTTATTTAAGGAATGAATTTTATAGCCACCCAAGTTATACTATATAACCTGGGTTGGGCAGTTTACGCTTTATAAACCGCGAACTCCATTGACCAAATAAACGACACCACAGAGTCTGATACATCTGTTTCATATTCGGACATTTTACTTATGATAAACGAAATGACTTCAACTTTTCTGTCTTCAGTTTCCCTTATTTATGTAGCAAAATACAATTATCAGCAGCATATGGAGTTTATGTCTCCCAGTTGATTCGATACGCAAGAGTATGCTCCACGTACGAACAATTTCTTAAACAAGGTAAGGTATTGACAAATAAGTTGATGATACAAGGATATCAACAGTCTCGTTTAAAGTCAACATTTCGCAAATTCTATGGTCGATACGATGACCTTGTCAGCAAATACAATCTATCGATAGGTCGAATGTTGACTGACATTTTTCATACAAATTGTTAGACCGTCACTTTCACACTGTATTGTCTACAGATTTTTCCGTTTGCCAGAACATGACAAGGAGCACACGGCTGGTGTGACCGGTCGACGGGGGAAGCTTATTTCTCCGTGGCACCTGATCCCATCTCTGATGTATTTAGAGGTCCGTGTTTTCTCTGCTCCCAATTAGTATTGTTTCAATGGACTTTTGAGCTTGATTTCTGATCGTTATCTTCATATTTCATACAACACTATATACGCTTCGGATTTTTAATTAAAAATGACAGGCCTAATTTTGCTTTGATATTGACTATCTTAATTTTTTATTTTTTGTTAAGGTAGGTTGGAGAAAACCCGACCACCACGGCGGATTGGGTGCAGGTTTAAAGATACCATTATATATTTTTCATAAAATTTTCTTTGGAAAATACAATATGGCGGGAAAATGCAAGTAAGACAATGGAATTTATTTCTCAATATAATGACAGATATATTTGGAGACAATTATTATTATTATTAAGATTAATAAAGGCACAGCCCGGCGGCCGACACGTTGAGATGGAGTGTATGTTTTCATAAGCCTGATAATCCGGGTGGAGGGGGGATATCGCAAATTTTTATATCCTAACTATTTCGGATAAAGTTCTTCCGCCGATGGTTTGATTCTTCTTAATATCTTCTACCGGAAATGACTAGATTGTTGATACTAAAATGAAAGTTGCGAGCGCCTTTTTGATTTGAAAATTCGAAGCGAGAGTATATTGTTTTAATGAAGGAAAGAGTACAGAATTGGCGTTTTTATCATTTTTGATGATGAAATGTAAGTGTTTATTGCAAGTTGACAGAGCTCTTCCACCGATTAAGAAGTGCAGGAAAGAGCAGCCTATTTTTATAAATTACATATGATTTACCATTGATAAGGAGTTACGACCGCCTTTTTAATTTGAAAACGGCAATTTCTTGCAACAGTGTGACTAACTTAATAACAGAAAAAACGGTATCCTAAGTGGTCAGCTGTTAATCACACAAAATTCTACCCATACATGTATAACTATGACGGAGGCTTGAAGAAAAAAAAAAGAAACAGGCTTGCAGGTTTTAAAATAAAAATATAAAGAAATGGAATTTCGAGTATATGCAGTATCTTATGAATATTAATGAGAAATAAATCACGTGGAAGCAATCTCATGAATAAATTGCACACCATTTCTCCATATGTGTATACGTCATAAAATTGAAAAGTCCAACAGACTCGGAAGGTATACATCGCGGGGACAGGGGGATGCTGGGATGGGCGTGTCCTATCCTTAGGTAACTTGACCAATGGGGACGAGCTTTGGCTTACATGTACTAATTGGATAATTTAACGAATCTGAGATATGTATAGTAATAGACTGGAAGACTTATGGTCATCTTCGCCGCTAAAAAAATTAGATGCAGGCAATTTAAAAACCATTACTCGCAATTTTCATATTACCACGCTAATGAAATTTTCATATTACCTCGCTAATGATAGTATTCATTTCGGGGTCAAAATGCACAGCACTACACTCACTAGAATCGTTCACACTGCACTGTTTGAATGACAACGAAATTGCAGACTTGTTTCCAGCATCCTTATCTTCCTCCAACATTGAAGAGTTTCCAAAATCCCCACACCACCAGTCAGGCGTAGCGCCCCCAAATGTCATCATCAGCACAGACCACGTAAATGGAAATTTAGCAAGGTTAATTACAGCAATTATGATAAATTGGAAGCGTCCTAATCCTCCAGTGTCCAAAAGAACGTTTTCTAAAAGATGATTGAGTTCACCAGACATTATTTCGTTCGTCAATATACACTCATAAGTTGTCACAATTTTAGTTAGTGTGAGTTTGCATTTATGAAGTCGAATTACACTCGTCCTTTATTCAGATTTAGTATAGTTGATTTTATGTGCTTGTATGCATAAACATGGATATATTTATTTTATTTTACAGTTCGCAATCGGGACAGGCCTTCTTCGAAGCTTCATCTTTAATGGTTATCGATGATATTTGTTGGCTGCTTGATAGAAAACCTGAAATCAAGTTGATCTGACATGGCCCTTATTTTCCAATAGTACAACTGATTTTAATTCTGGATTATGGCCAAGGTTAAAGTTAAAAGTTTCACAAGTATATCATTGAAGGAGTTAGCAAGATTCCAGTTCTCCAAGGACAGGACTATTTCCCGAGGCGAAGCCGAGGGAAATAGTCCTGGAGGAGGGGAACTTGAATCTTGCTAACTCCCGCAATGATATACTTTTAACTGTTTTATTACACCGATACAAACGTAAAATTTAGAGGATTCAAATAGCGTGATTTCAAAGCAGGGATTAGCTAACTGAACTTACACACGGGGATTAGTCCATTTACATATCATGCCAATGTATAAATAAAATTTAGAGGATTACGGATAACCGGGAATTAGCTTTCGAAGCAGGGATTAGCTCACTTGACTTACGTACGGGGATTAGTCCATTCTTAACAATTTCTAGGGAATTAGTCACATCTAACATTCTAATAATCAGTTGAGGAATAACAAACAATATTAACGCTGAGTCGGCAATATTTCAGCCATATTTCGGCGAACAAATTAATTGTATATGACCATTGTTGAAGTTTTTGGTTTCTCTGGCCATATTTGTACGGAGCATTGCCGTGCATTGTCATGCGACATGTTCTTATGGACGACAATATGCGATGTGAGGGTAGGTACACATTGTCGCCGACGACAAAATGAACAGGACGACAAAATGTATTATTATACCTCTACTGATTTTTTCCCTATATAACATAAGATCATCAGATGTGACTTATTCCCTAGAAATCGTTATGAATGGACTAATCCCCATGCGTTAGTCAAATGAGCTAATCCCTGCTTTGAAAGCTAATTCCCGGAATGGACTTATCCCCGTGTGTTAGTTCAGTGAGCTAATCCCTGCTTTGAAATCACGCTATCTGAATCCTCTAAATTTTACCTTTGTATCGGTATAATAAAACAGTTAAAAGTATATCATTGAGGGAGTTGATATAATTTCAAAAAAAATTTTGAACTTGAAATAATTATACCATGCAACAACAAATCGATAATAAGTATACCAACTGTGCTGAGAGCTAATGGAGCCAGAATAGAACCGATCCTACACAAGGAGCTGGCTAATCCGTAGCCAGTGGTTCTAAAAGCAAGATATTATTTTAATATTACATGAATAACTCACAATAACGCATGTTCAAAAGTATGAATCCGGTTAGATGCCAGAATTTTACGAAAAGGAATAAAATTCTTGCCTTAGTACAGTTAGGTAATATTCTGTGGTGATGATAAACAAACAAGACCACCCAGCCGCACAACCCAGCTTAGTTACAAAGGCGAATCCATGCACTAATCCACCCTTACTTGTTGAAATCAACTCGTAAAAAAATGATACATGTACATATAAAAATAAGGGCTTTTGTGGATTTTACACGAAAAACAAAACAAAAATATGGAAAAAACAATATAAATGTAAATAATACACCAAATTTATTTTTGTATCGTTATATCATGGACCGAATTAATCTGGATCAGTGTTAACCTGGCACCGCCGAATGTAGTCTGGTTCCCTGACCCGTTTATCATCGTCTTTGTAGAGAACCAGACTATGACAACATTGACCATAAAAAAAAACCTTAATCATATGAATTAAGCTGTTTTACAAAAGAATGCAATTTTCAAAATCATTACTTTTGATGTTTTTTTGTATAGAATGGAATATGAAGATAACGAACAGTATTCAATCTCGAAAGTCCAATGAAACAATACAAATTTGGAGCAGAGTAAACACGGACCTCAAAATTTAGAGGTGGGAGAAATCTTCGTTTCATTTTTGTTGTTATATTTAGCGTTTTTGTATTATCTCAAAAAGCGATTGAGAGTAAGTACTATATTTTTACACGTAAATTTATTTTGGCGGCTGTGCGGTCAACTTCCTGAACAGGCTGTCAATAGCCGGCAATTGCTCTTTGAGCAATGAACCCGGCTAAAAATTAATATCCGCCACGTGCACATAATGTGAACGCTAAATACAATACATTTAGAGTTTATCATGATTTAATTCACAACAAAAGACGTGGAACATGGTCATTGCGACCATAAAACCCAGGCAGGGATCCAGACATCGCTAAAAGGACTTCCAAAATAGAGATAGATCTTGGAAAGATAGAGTCATCGAGAGTCACCTGTATGTATACATGCACTTATCTTACTTAATGCAAATACTTTATTAACAAAAGCATTCAAATAAAAGCAATGTGTGCTTTACTGTTACGGTTTGACAAAAAGAAATACTTTGGTATAAATAAATGAGTTTTGTATATTAATTTTGTATATTACTAGTCATGCATTTTCGCTCTGTCTGTCAGAACATTTAATAACTTTGACATGGCTTGAACGAAATAAATTAAATTACTTATTTACCTTTTCATTTAATACCATGCAAGAAAAGCCCCAGGAATTTCCAAGAAGCTGAGAACAAATATGTTGATATAAAGACTTCCGGACAACTTGTCAACACCAAAAGAAATCCCATAATACGTATATGCCATCGCCATCCTTTCATTGAGAAAGAGAAATCTAATTAAATTTAATTTGAGAGTTAAATATACAAAGTCAAAAATACAAAAAAAGAGAGAGAAAAAATCATTATATTCCTGTCATTGTCCTCATGTCGTCCAGAAATTACATCGACAAGCTTTTAAAATCCATGTACATTCTTGGACTTTTTTTGTTGAGAGATATTAAATTCATAATTAGTTTTTGGTTTTATGTTTTAATATAATTTTCAGCAGAAAAGATAAACTTTACCATGCAAAAGAAACAATAATGAAACAATCGAGCATAAATTGCTCAGGTGAACATGCAGTCCATATGGGTCTGATATGTAAATATTTCATTACCAGTCTGATATTACATAATTTAACAATGTAAATTCTGTTAAAGAGAGAATTTTTGAAAGATTTGTGTAAAAAAAAAAAAAAAAAAAATCTCATTCAAAACACGTGCATAGTTTACAAAACGTGTTTCTATTTATTATTATAGAAACATTGGATACGGATGCGCAAACTCCATTTTCGGTGTTGGCGCCATGGTAGCTCAACAGATTGTTCAAATGGCAAGGCTGGTCTTGTAAGACTGATATCATGGTATAAATTGCACATGCTTATTCGTGTTTTATGTCGTAAAACTTAGTGATGACCTGGGGGCGGGGGTGTTGACATTTTGCAGAATTGAAGATGGGAAAATATCGAAATACACACAGAGTAATGGACCAAATCAAATTGATAGTAATGTTCAGAATTTTTACACGTAATATAGTAATTCAATAACACATTGAGGGAAGCCCCCCCCCCCCCCCCCCATGTTGAAGTGCCGGACTTAGTTATTTAACTGTGCTTATATGTATCATTTTCACTTTTTTTGCTGTAATCATACTAGGTTATCTATTTTTCAGAGTAAATCATTTCCAGGATTGATGTACTTCCTCTGTTCCGGCCTTTTGTTTTTGTCCGCCATATCAGCGGTTCTAGTTCCGGACACAAAAGGGAAAGTCATGGAAAACCAAATCCGGTCTAGAAAATCGGAAATCTTTAACATATTCATTGGTAAGGAAACTAAGATAGATCATTATACTGAAATTCCTACTCAACATTATGTAAATTTTTTAACTTATATAAAAATCAATATATGTTAAAATCAATAAACAGAATGAAAATTGAACTGATTATCAATTAACACAATGTAACTATTATTTACATTTTCGGGGAGAGTTATTTTCAAAATGTCTCAAGATATAAATTCTATATTTATAAATATAGATATATTTATTTATTAGAAGTAAATGAAGGAAAGATTGCGTGTCCGACTAAAACACTGGAGCGGAATATTCCAGAGGGAGAAGTCATTATTTAGCAAAATTCTTTGTTTATATATGTATCTCAATGTATTTCCCGTTGCCTCTATTTGTACTCTGACAATATTTACAAGACCTTTGTTGATGTTGTTGTTGCATGATTATTAAATCACTAAAAATATTTCACTTTTTATGTTAACAAGTCCATTCCTTATCTAAGTCACGCCTTTTAGTTTATCTGGATTTGGATGCAAATTCTGTTTTTGTTAAGTTCTTGAAAGTTTAATTCTCTTTGAATAAGCTTAGTATTTTTCATGTCCCTGTTAAATTGTCTCATCCCTTCAACTACTTAATACGTTATATTTTAGAATTCCTAATATTCCGGTATTTTACCCAGAGTTACCGATCTTTAGCTTTAATTCCCATCTTTGACAATACTCGTCTTTAAAGTTTTATATTAAGCTTAATTTTTAAAACGTGTGAATCAATGTAGACCACTCTGTGTACAGTGTGTACATGTATCACGGAATGATCATTGGAATTATAGTTGCTTATCTTATAGGTGACTGCGTTAAACCTGGTATTACTTTTTTTCATTATGTATGGACAAATAATTGATACACATTATTGATAGTAAGTAAAATTAAGGGAAGCAATCACATTTGGAGGGAAATTTAGAAACCGAAGAAAAGAGGAGGAACGAAATTAGAAAGATTTGTAGATTTAGTTACAAAGCATCCAAGAAACGTTGATGTAAGACTGATCCGCAAACCCCATTTACTGTATATAGCTTGCAAGCATTGAAGTATGTGCAGAAAACTACACTGAGAATTACATCGTACTGATTTAGACGTAATAAATCAAAATCTTAATATAGGAAATTGTCAATGTTTGAAAATATACTTGAAACTCCCCTTT